GCTGCAGCGGCCCCAGGCTGGGACCAGAGATTACTGTTGACAGCCAAAGCAAACCCGCTGGAACTGTTAAGTCAGCTGGTAGATTGTTCTTTAGTCAGAACACAGTTAAACCCAGGGAGTGAGACGGGGACTCCAAGAGCAACTCATGACTAAACTATATTTCAACCTGCTCATTTTATGGGTATATAATAAGCTGTAATTTAAAAACACATTCAGATGGACTCTTCTGTCTAGAAAGAAAATGTTTGGGGAAAGTGTACTTATTTACATTTATTTAACAAACACTCATATAGGACTTACCATGTGTTGGGTATTGCTGTAAACATTTTACATATGTTAACTAATTTAATTCTCATAAGAATTCCATGGAGGTACTTTTATTTTCCCTATTTTACAGATGGAGACACTGAGGCACAGTGATATTAAATAAGGTAGAGCTGAAATTTGAACCCAGGCAAACTGGCCCCAGAGTCTGTGCACATAAAATTATATGGTGCATTGTATTTTAATTTTTTAATTATTTTTTTACTTTAAAAATTTTTAAAGATTTTTATTTAGTTAGTTTTAGAGAGAGAGGAAGGGAAGGAGAAAGAGAGAGAGAGAAACGTCAGTGTATGGTTGCACCTCACATGCCCCCCACTGGGGACCTGGCCCACAATCCAGGGATGTGCCCTGACTGGGAATTGAACCAGCAACCCTTTGGTTCGCAGACCTTCACTCGATCTATTGAGCTACACCAGCCAGGGCTGTATGTTGTATTTTTGAAAGCCCACTCTCAAAAGAATTTCATGTTATATGCTTTACTAACATGAGTCATCTCCCCATCCCCACTGACTCAATAGCGTATTTTGTATACCAGGAATTTTCAAGCTCCTAGCTTGTTTAATCTTATAATTGTGATGCCTTTTAAAAATGTGGTAAAACATACATAGTGTAAAATGTACCACTTTAACCATTTGTAAGTGTACAGTTCAGCAGTGGTAAGTACGTTCACGCTGTTGCACTCTGTCACCGTGCCATCCATCTCTAGAACGCTTTTCACCTTGCAAAACAGAGACTGCACACCCAGCAAATAGTAGCAGCTGTTCCGGTTCCCTGCAGCCCCGGGCAACCACTCCTCTACTGTCTGTCTCTGCATTATTACTACTATGGGTTGTTCATGTAAGTGGAACCATATAATATTTGTACTTTTGTGTCTGAATTATTTCACTGAGCAAATGTCTTTAAGGTTCATTCATGATGTAGTATGTGTCAGAACTGCCTCTCTTTTTAAGCCTGAATCATATTCCGTTGTGTATCTATGTATCACATTTCGTTTATTCATTCATCCATAGACGGAAACGTGGGTTGCTCCCACCTCTTGGCTATTATGTATCACACTGCTATGAACATGGGCCTATAAACATCTGTTTGAGTTCCTGCAGTCAATACAAAAATTGTTTTTTATATACCCAAAAAAGGCATTGCTAGATCATATGGCAAGTCTATATTTAACTTTAATTGAGCTTTTGAACAGTTATAAAATCATAACTCTATAAATATTAGAAGAAGGGGAGAAATTTTATAACTGCTTTCTGAGAATGGTGCTAAAGCCCTTCCGGGGAGTCAAGTCAGCTGGTGATGTGACGGGAAATGGAACAGAAAAGGTTCTGAAGCGGCCGCAGGTGAGTGTGGCGAGCCAGACTGCTTTTTGCCAGAGCTGGGGATGCTGTGGCCTCCATTCTCAGTACAGAAGTCCTCCCAGGCAGGCAGCTGAGAGTGCTGGCCCGGCTGGGTTTTGATTTTGCAGACGTGCTAATGGCCTAGGACACTGAGTTCTGCTCATCAGAGGGGCCCCCACACTGTACCTCAGCTGGGCCACAGACCTTCAGCCTCCTCTTGGGCGGAAGACAAAGGGGAGGGGAAGGTTTCTGGGAATAAAGAGCACCTTCCAGTAATTACTGATTAGTCAGGGCCAGAGGTTAGGGGAGGGGTCTGCACGACCCACCCCATGCACTTTTTAGGATTATCGTTGTCCCTAAAAGGTAAATAGAGAACAAAACGTATTGTTTTAAAATCTCCCAGTTGAGAATAGCCCAAACCCATCAGCCTAAACCTGGGGCTAGGGACACTGTGGGAGTTAAAAAGAAATGACTCCTCTGATCCCGTGCCCTTTGACAACCCACCTCCTGAGGCCAGAGGGAGGAGGAGCAGAAGAAAAATAAACACCTTTTGGATTCAAAACAATCTATGAATTTATTCTGTGGGGCCTCCAATAGACCTCTGACTGTGGCAAACTTTAAGAAGCTAATCTCTCAAGGTCAAAGGTGAGAGAGGATGAGCTTTCCGGAAGGAGTGGATGGAGCCGAGGCAGCCCGGGGCTTCCCCCTCTAGGGGAGATAGAGGGCAACTGCAGGAGCTGGTTGAGGGGCAGGGTCCAGGAGGCCCAAGAAGGAGGGCGTCCCAAGTGCAGCCTCTGCTCTTCTCTACTTTTCTCTTGCTCTGTCTACCCCTGAGTGCCTGCCGTAATGGGGCAGACAGCTGTTCTGCAGTGTCCTCGGTCCTGTGTCCACTGCCCCCTCCCTCAGTAAGAGTTCTGGGCCGGGAGCCAGACCACACTCTGGAGCTGCCACTGACCTGCTCTTCGGTCCTGAACAAGCTGTGCCACGTCTCTGAGCCCCAGGGCACTCACTGGAAGCTGGAGACTGTCTCCTAGCCCTCAGGGTGGAAGGGAGAGCCTCCGTAAGAGGCGCCCTGGTGGAGGCTGTCCTTGTTCCTTCCGCTGCGGGACTGAAGTCCCCAGCCCTGTCTGGTTCTCAGCCCTGCTTGCTGGTGACTCGTTATCTCTGGTTCCACCGCGGGGCTTTAGACAAATCTAGGTGGGTCTGAGTCTTCTCCGCTTCCCGAGTCCAGAAGCCAGGCAAAGACCTGGTGGCCCCACAGGTGCTGACATTTGAAACCAGGAGTGGGCAGGTCGGACTGCACTGTACATGTATGTTTTCTTCTCTTCCTTATCAGTGTTTTCCATAATAAAACACTGGAATGCTGCCCGTGAATTCTGAAACTCCACCTGGAGTTCAAGTGGGGTTAGACGGGGGCCAGAGGCTTTGCTCAGACTGTACTGTGCAGGGGAGGCCACAGCTCCAGATGAAGGCCCTCGCTCTGGGCCGGGCCCTGCTCAGCAGCGGCAGCAGGAGCCCCGTGGTGTGTCAGGGAAGACGGGGTGGCGGACAGAGTCGGCAGGTGACTTGGAGGTAGCGCAGGCAGAGATGGCCTTGTGGACGACTGGATTCCAGTGAAGGAGGAAGGAGACCTTCCCTGAGGCAACATCCCAGCGAGTGTAAGGCAAGGATTTCTGGCAAAGGAAATAGTATGAACAAAGGCATGGAGGTGAGAGGTCATTAATAATATTGTAGAAACAAAATTGTATTCAAAGCACAGAGATGCAGAACATGAGGCTGAGGGAAAAGAGATGGGCCAGATCTTTTCACTGGAACCATGATATCAATACTTTGCATATTGTTGCTCTCACATTAAAAAAATCAGGCAATAGAGGCTCAGAAAGTTTAAGTAACTTCCTCAAGTCACACAGCAAGTGGTGGAGCTGGGATGGGAACTTTATCTGTCCGACTCCAGAACAGAAGTCGCCCCACTTGTGGATTAGAAAGGGAGACCCACTTTGGTGGCTGGGTGGGGTCTAGGACATTTGTTCTTGGGCTTCAGCGCCCTCTTTCAACTCTCCTGTCTGAGCAGAGGGCTTTCTGCAGCCTCCTGGTTTCAGCCTTGCAGCTTGTAGTCCCCCTTCGATCACTTTCAGGTCTGCATCTTCCACGGAGACGGGAAGCGGGCAACCACAGTGGAAACCACCTTCCAGCCCAGAGGGCTGGTGGCCAAAGATCTGCCTTCCAACATGCCTTTCTTTCCCTGTCTGTGAGTGTGGCTGGAGTAAATCCACCCGTTAGCCTCCATCACAGGTGGGTCAGGGCATGCGCCTGGTTCTGCCTGGCACTGCTGATGGGCGGGTGGTTCCCCGCCCAGATGCCAGGGTCTGAGAGCTGCATTTCAGGAGCTCTGTCCCTTCATGCCAATCCCATCCACTTGGGAGCTGCTCTGGGCCACGCCCACTGCAGCTGTCCCAGGAACCTTGGTCCTGGTTAGGATCAGCCTGAAGACCAAAGTGGAAAAGCCCATTCTAATTAGCAAAAGTTGCTAGTCTGGAAGCTTCTCACCCTAACCTTATTTCAGTACTTTTCTTTCCCTTCAAATTGAGCTTCAAGGCCACCATATCAGCCTCAGGACCCCTGGAGAAACTTCGTGGGCCCTTTCGAGAGGTTTTCATGGTTGCTTCTGAAAGTGGAGCACAGTTTCTGTCAGGTCAGGATGGCGGGCATGCCGGTGTGGACATCTACTGAGAACCTGTGGCCTGGACCCTGTGTCGGGTGTGTCCATGCCGTCTGAGCGCAGACTGTAATAAACAAGTCTCTTTCTGACAGGTGAAGAAACGAAAACTCAGAGACTTGGGAAGAGCGGTCACAGACAGTGGGCGGAGATCTGGACGGAGCCAGGTCTCTGCCTGCCTCCAGAGCCCCAGCGTTTCCTCGTGGGTGCTGCAGCCTGCGTGTGACAGGCAGGCACGGAGAGGAATCGTGCCTTTCCAGTACTGAGCCTTTCAGTGCCCAAGCCTCAAGCCAGATCGATTAAATCAGCATCTCTGGGGTCCAGAACGGCGCACTGATGGTTTCTAGGGCTACCCGGGAGATTCCGGGGCACCCCGTGCTGCAGCGTGCTTGACAGTGACGGCGAGGGGCACATGGCCTCCTCCAGAGCTCTCCAGGTGCTCCGTTCAGTGCGTCATCCAGTTCACGAAACCTAAAATCAAAAACGACATTGGCTAAATCCCCTCCTCTCATCAATGGAACCTAGGGGAGGGGCCCAGCCTAGCTCGCCCCCGCCGGGCTCGGGGTCTTCTGCCCCGGGGCTCAGGTGTGGCGCCCTGGCAGGAAGCCTGTGATCCGTCCGGGCGCGGGGCTGTTGCGCCATCCGCTCCGGCTTTCGTAACTGCACCTTGGGGCGGCCCAGAGACGCCCCAGCGCGAGTTCCTCAAATGTTTTCCTGCGTTGCCTGGACTGTCCGCGGCTCTGAGTCACGTGCAAGTGGGAAGTCGCACTGACACGGAGCTCGGCCAGAAGGAGCCGAGCCGGGCACGGCGCGGGGCTCCAGGACTCGCCCGGCGCGCCGAGCGCGGGCCCCCAGGGATGGGGGCTGCCCTAGGAGCCTGAGCCCGCCCGCCGCCGCCCCGCCCCGGTCGCCCGGTTCCGACCCGCCCGCTCGCCCGCCTGCCCGTCTGGAGCTATGGACCATTAGCCAAGGAGAAAGCATGCTGGCGGTCCGCTGCGCCCTGCTCACCGCCCTGCTGGCCGCGCCGGGGGCGGCACTGGCCCCAGGGGTCTGCCCAGCGCTGGGTAAGGGCCTCGCGCACACCTAGAGGGCTGGGCCAACCGGCGGGTGGGAGAAACCGCTGTGGTCGCCGCAGATGGGGGCTGGTGAGCGGCCTGAGGGAGGGAAGGAGGGGTGAAGGCTAGTTTGGGTTCCCGCGGGCACAAGGTGCGGGCTCCGAGTGGCCCAGCTGTTCCGTCGCGGGCGGGGGGCGCCCGTGCTCCCTGCTGCGTCCTGCGCCTCCGGAGGTGCGGTCTCAGCTGAGACTGCCCTGCGGCCGGGAAGCACCCTGTGGTCTACTCACAGGGCTTGGTGTGTTCTCAGAAACCCGATTCTCGGGTCTCCTTCCAGTGTCCCTTACACAACTGGGTACCGGGTGACTCGGAGGGGAAATACCCCAGAGGGGTGGAGTTCCCGCCTAAGGCTGCCCCCCCCCCCCCGCCAGCCTCAGCTTTGGGTCGGGGGGCACCTTGCCTGGCTCTCCCCTCGGCCCCCGAGCTGTATGTGTGGATGACAGCGCCCTGACTGTTGAAGGGACTGACTTCATGGGCGCTGAGTCACGACCCTCTGGCTGCTTGCACAGGCTTCCGCAGACACCAGCTCCACAAGCTGTGTGCCCAGCCCTGGGACTTGAACCTAAGCAAGGAGGATGATGGCCAGGGATTGGGACGCCTGGAGGCTGGCACACACTGGACTCCACTTCCAGAGGAGAGGAGGGGTGAGGCAGAGGCCAGGGGGCACTTTTGTTCCTGTGGACTGTAATCTGCCCCTGGCAGGGTGCCCAGCTGCGGGTCTAGTCTGTCCAGTCCAGCTGGGCCACTGCCTCTCCAGAGGTCTATTTTAAGGTCTGAGGGCTTCTCTGAAGATGAAGCGGAAAACCAAGGGGGCAGGCTGATGTCCCCCACTGGGAGATAATTTTCTGGAGCCTGCTTTTCGGTTCCTGGAACATATGGAGGTGCTGCTGGCTGAGGCCGCCTGTGCTTTAAGGCACGTTTTCTAAGTCTCCATTGGGTCTAGTACGCTCGTACTTTGTTTCAGAGAGGAGACTGAGGTTCAGAGAGCTTGGGATGGGAGAGGCCCACCGCTCCATGTCCCTGAGTTCCAGTGCAGCAGGTCCCCAAGACTCCGAAATGTAGAACTAGCACAGTAGGAAGAGCTGAGGGGTGCCAAGCTGAGGGTGACCCCTGGCTGGCTGAGCACTGGGGCAGAAGAGGCCAGGGTAGGGAAATGGAGGCCCAGGCTTGCCCATCATGGTGTCAGAAGGATGCAGGGCAGAGTTGAGGCTCCTGTCAGGAGGGAGCAAGGCTCCCCTCCCTGCCTCTGCTGCTACTCACACCGCAGCCAGGGCACCTGCCCCAGGGAGGTTACTGCTACCTCTCTGGCTTCACCGCACTCCTGAGCGGTTAGGCCCTGTGAAGGCAGCCATTGACCATTGTTTCTCCATTTCTCTGGTGCCCAGGAGGGATGGACAAGGTGGTCTCAAGGCCTGGACAGGCTGTGAATTTAAGGCAGAACTGAGAGTTTGGGGAGGAAGTGAAAGCCCTCGCAGTTCAGAAGGAAAATGCAGAGAAGTAAAAATACCCAACTCCCCTCCTACACCCACACAGACGCAGCCCACAGACTCGAGAGTAAAAATAAAGACATCGTACAGGAAGCATGGAGCAAATGACTGAGATGTCTTGCTTTGGAGAAGTGAGGGGCCAAGGGTGAGCAGCAGCTGGAGTGGGTCTGGAGGGGAAGTCCGCCGGCTCTCCGGGCTGTGGGGTCTTACAGCCAGGAGACCTGCCTTCCTTGGGGGCAGGGGCTGCCCACATACGCTGGAGCTCACGAGCACTTGCCATGGACACGGGCTGCACCCAGGTGACTCAGGGTCTCCTGCTGCCTTCTGCAGAGTGACGGCGCACCGAACAAACATACCTTGCTGTCATTCATCCTCCTGCCTCAGCTTCTGAGCTTGCCTTTGGGCGATTTCTTCCTGCCCTTGATGTCTACCCGCTTTCCTGACCTCAGCCTGCATCAGTATTTCTCAAAAGATTAGTTCTGGGTCTGGTTGCATCAGAACTGGTGTGTGTGTGTGTGTGTGTGTGTGTGTGTGTGTGAAGCGTGGGACTGGGGGCAAGCCCAAATGCCGATTCTTGGCCCCAGATATACCCAAGAGAAATATCTGGGAGTGAGTCTTGGGAAATGTCTTTTTTTAACAAATGTCCTTTGCAATTGGCAAGTTTGAGGATGGCTGGCCAAACAGCAAGATTGAGGAACTGAACTAAGGCCCCCGCCAGGGGGCTCAGCTTCCACCAGCCAGAAACCTGCTCCTGCTTTGGCTCTGTCCTTGTGTATTGAGCGCAGAAAACCCTTGTTGAGTCTGTGTAAGCCCTGTGGGACCTGTGTGCGGTCAGCCACCCAGACTCTACCTGAAAGGAACTTGAATGTGGTCAGGTGTAAATCCCTGAGAGGGACTGAGGAACCCAGCCATGTGACACATCCTGCTCAGTGCCCACTACTTGATGATGAACTGTCTCGGGGTGGGGAGGAAGCCCCTCTGACTGAGGACCAGACCCCAGGCAGCAGGCGTGCCGACCCCAACCCTGTCACTTCATCCTGGGATTGGGTCAGCAAAGCCTCCCCTCTCAGGGTGGGGGTCACGCAAGGCGGCCTGGGTTCCCGCAGTTGTGAACACGCACCCCTCTCCTCCCCCTGCCACTGTCTCAGCAGGCCTGCCGGCCACCAGCCCTGTGAGGGACAGCATTCCTGTCACAAACCTGGGCATTTCCAGGTCAGTCTTAAAGGCTATGACTCTACTCTCTAACATGGTAGCTGCTTGCTAAGTGTGGCTATGTAAATTTAAGTTAATTAAGATGGAATCAAATTAAAAGTGTGGCTTCTTAGTTGTGCTAGCTGCATGTCAGGTGCTCAGTAGCACCCGTCACTAAAGGCCTCTGAGCCGGACAGAAGAGATGAAAGGTGTTTTCCGTCGCGGGTTTGGGAGAACTTCCAGAGGCCTCCTGTTGCTTCTTCCTTTGTCCCTGTCCAGTCCTTCTTTCCTCCTGCAGCTGAACACAGCTCGTCTGGTCCAGGTGGTGGCTGAGGCTGGGAGCCAGGCCGATCCCCGCCTGCCCGGCCACGGAGAAACGATGTGAGCTTGGGTGAGTGGTCTCACCGCTCAGGACCCCTGTTCTCGCCTAGAAACACCAGTGATTACACTACGGAACAGAGCAGAAGGGGAAAATGAGCCAGACTGTGTTTTAAAGGAAGTCCCTAGTGCAGAGCAAGTGCTTAAATAGGCGTAGCTAATAATTCATTCATTTGAAAGAAGTGTTTTCAGCTGCTGCTGCGTCCAGGCACCGTGCTAAGAGCTATAGATGTGGCTGTGAGCAGGGCAGACAGACTTTCCCTCCTTGTGGGAGCTTCGTTCCAGTGAGGGAGTAAATGAAATACGCAGTATGACTGTGGCCCAGGCGAAGGAGGAAGAGTGACGGGGAGGGAGTTAGGAGCCGTGCGTTTATGTCGAGAGGGCATGTTCAATGGGTCCCTTCAGGGGCAGGCCAGGGGAGTTTTCGCCGAGATGGTTATGTGAATGAAGGCCTGAAGGAAGTATAAAACTATTTAGACATTCCTTATGTACCTGTCAACCAAAACACTTCCATGGCCGAAAGCTTTCCTGAAGGAAAGTGTTTATGGAGCCCAATGCTGGCTGGGAAGGACAAGGTCCTGGGTGTGTGGGCAAAACTGCCCCCGGTGGGGCCGGAGAGGGCAGGGTCTGCCGTCCCGGGCCCACGGCGCGTTTGTACGTTGTGTTTGGGGGGGAAAAGGAAGAGATGTAAGTCGTTCTGAAAGCATTTACACTGGCTATGGGTGCAGAGGGTGGGGAGGGTGGGAGCCTATAAGGAGCGCGTGCTCCTCTGGACCGAGTGGCCAACAGTCTGGACAGTTCGCACGGAGCAACAAATGGGAGCCTGGTGGTCGGAAACGCCTGCCTGTTTGCTTTAGGTGATTGTGAAATAGTCACCCGAAAGTTAACTCCCTGTTCCAACGCACACTCTGGAGAGCGTGCGCAGCCTTTTGCTGGTTGTCCTGCAGTTGATAGCTAGTTCACTTGTCTCTCCCTCCCACCTTTCCGCCTGCTGTAATTTAATTGAGGACACTTCAGAATTTTCTCCTTGTTACTCTCATCTTGGGCAGGAAAATTCCTGCCTCCTCTGGCATTACCTGTGGGTGGGCCCGTTGGGCTCCGGGGGCAGGGACAGGAGGCCCCTGGCCTTGGTGAAGCCGCAGCTGTCCTTGGGGAGCCCAGGCCTCAGCCATGGGGCTACTTGGATTGGTTCATGTCACTTTGTCAGGTCACGAACTGTCACTGCGTTTTGAGTCTTCAGGAGAGAATCCTCCAGGGCTGCAGGGGCCAGGGGAAGGCGGTGAAGAAAAGCTTCGAACTCTGTCTGGTGGGGCCGGGGGAGCTTCTTTTGGGTAGTTGATCGGTGTGGTCTAATCCTGTCTCTGGCCTTCAGACCCAAAGAGGTCCCAAGACTCTGGCAGGGTCGGGGCTTTTCCTGCGTGGTCCTGGGTTCAGTCTTGACTTTCAGCAGCGGGCTCCCCTGCTCCCCCACCCCCACCCCCTGCCAGCTCAGCCTGAGGGCTCCGCCCTCAGGTGTGTGTCCCTGAGGCTGACATCCAGGCTGTCCCCTAGCACCTGTTCTCATTCCCCTCCACCTTCCAGTTTCCTTCCCTGAAAAACATCTTTTGGTCTTTGCCCTCTTCATGACGGTGATGACAGTGTCCGTTGCCATATTGAGTGCCAACTGTGCACACAGAACTGTCCTGGACACTGCATCTGTGATCTCATTTACCCTTCCCAGCAGCCTTATGTGAGAGGGTGTTTCAGCCATTGTACAGATGGGAGAGGTGGTAGGACAGGCAGGTTTTATTGGAGGAGATCAGGGTCTGTTTCGGACATGTTGCCACTGAGGTATCTAACAACCAGAAGAAAACACTGAGGAGTTGGATACAGGAGTCTGGAGTTTGGGAATCAGTA